ACAGATAGATGGCAAAATGGGTGTTTAGATAGATCGATAGATAGATAGACAGACAGACAGATAGATAGATAGATGATAGATAGATAGATAGAGAGAGAGAGAGAGAGAGAGAGAGAGCGAGAGAGAAAGAAAACAAAAAAGGCAACAAAAAGCAAAAGAAACAGAAGGAGTGCGGGAGAGAGGCACCGAGGGCGAGCGGGCCCAAGTAAATCCCGCTCGCACTTCGACAATCACACATCGGGGGAGATCTCTCGAAGTTGAGGCCAAGTCGCTCGGGCACCTGCAAGCTGCGGCGCAAGGCCTCCACCATGGGCTCCAACCTCAGACAGAGGCAGACAGACGCCGCATGCGATTCCGTACATACACTCCATGAGCTACCGAAGCTCGAACCCTTCGGGGTCAGGGGCGTTTATGCAAAGAACAGCTTGTTGTACAGTATCAGGGCCGAAACTGCAGAAGACTAAGCCCTAGATTGAAATCTGCCCGAAGATACCTCCGGACGGTTAACTTACCGTAAGCAGTCTGCCCTACAAGCACGAGCGCGCGAGCTTTTCTGCAACTCGGGCCGCACGGCACAGCGCCTTGCAGGCGGTTTCACTTGAGCGCGCCGCTCAGAAATCTACCTTAGATCGCCCAAATCCCAGCCCATCCTGAGATTCTGCATCTCGGACTCAAACACTATGGCGCCGTAATCCAGCACAAGCTGCGACAGCCTGCCCACAATGCCCGCAAGGAGACTAAAGCTCAATGGACCCAAAGGAGCCCTAGAGCTCACCGGAGTGTCTCGGTATGAGCCCATTTCTTTCGTCTGCGGCCTGCTTTCCTCGGGTCGGCAGCCGGTGGAATAAACACTACACAGCAACAGGAAGAGCGAGAGATGAAAAGGCAGTGGTGAAGAAGCACTGACATAAATATGTTGCACGAAGTGCTCCGAAGTGACATGACAATGATTAGCCGATTGAACGAACAGTCTGTAGCACGAGTATCAAGAGTTGCAATGACACAACATGACACAACAGTATGACTGCAAGAAAAAGTAGCTGCACAAGCAAATCACAACATAGCAGAATTCGACATTATGGTAAGGTAGCGGTATGTAGCGGTTTAACAAACCTAAGCAAGCGACATTAGTACAATCAAGTAGCTGTTCAACTGATGAAACTACATTGCAGCATAGAGAAGCTCATTGCACGGGGTCTCATGTAACATGGTTTAGAGAGGTTCCAGCAGGGTGTTGTCGCTCAGAATGACTTGATTGGGATTTTGGATCATACGCAGGTGAAGATCAGGATCCAAACTCAAGCTTTCAGCGACTGTTTGGGGTCTTTCCATGGCAGCAAAGTCTCTTTGCAGATACTCGTCCTTGGGTATGGTCTGCGTGACTGTCCATCGGCCTCGCACGAGTCTGGTCCACAACCTAAAACCATAGTCTACATGTCTGTGTGTGCAGCCTACTGCAAGACTTTGTGAGAACCCTTGATGACTCCCCCGAGGTGCCTGGGATCAGTCTGCCCTTGCACTTCATCTCGTGTCCCGCGGGCGCATGCGGATGGCAGAGGACGTCCCGCTCCCAGTCCATCTCATGATCTACATTCCTTCGAGGGATCTGGGATTTCAGAAGCGGCTGTCTTCCGGGGTCCAGGTTACATCGCTGCGGGGAGGAGGAGAAGGTGCCGAAAACGTTACATGAGGCATCCCAGTAGGTACAAGATGCCAAGTCTAGAACCTAGCACGGATGCTTCAACCTCGGAACTTCCTCCTCTGCTGGTTCGATCCGACGCAGGGAGATGAGAGAGAGAGAGAAGGAACGAAAAGAAAAACAGGTGCGAACCCTGACATCCTGGCTGCTGCTGAGTCTCTCTAAATACCATTTCAAATCCTTGCAGCCCAGTTCTTCTTTCAGCTTGTTGTAGTTCGCCTTGACAGGCTCCATGTCGGTCAGCTTCATGCTAACCTGGGCCGGCGACATCACGGAAGCTTAACAAATCACTGCCCTTAGTGCTACCCTCAGCCTTCTCCAGATAGCCTGAATCCCGTGCTACACATAGACCAGCAGCTGCTTCAGGCTTCATCTTGTAAAAGTAGTCCAGGTGGTCCTGTTCCAGGGGTGAGCTCTGGGACCCAAGAGTTGCCCATGCATCACAAGCATGACTGACCGGGCTGCGCTACGGCCCCTCTTAGCACTATCAAGCCGTCCGTCTGCAACGCATCTTTCAGTCGCTTGCCACCCAGTGCTTACCGCTTACCGCTTGGCATCTTCCGGCTGCCTGAGCCCACAACTCGGCTAGGCGCTTGTAGTTGTAGACCACCGTGTTGACATCAACGTCGTAGGGTCTCAGGGCTTAGAGGTTGCGGGTTGCAGCGGAAGGACGGCCCGAAACGCTCGACAGAGAACAAGTGCCTGAGACCTAAGCACCCAAGCCTACCGCATGAGCCTCGAGAATTTGATTAACGGAACCAGCCTGTGGCTAGGATCCCGGAAAAGGTGTCCCACTCCTGAGCAAGCTGCAGTGCAGGCGTCAACGCCTCTGAAATGCTTCAGCATAATGTTACATTGTCTGTAGAGCGCCATGTGTCCATCCTCATCGTGTCTATCTAAATTTAATTGTGCTAACCGGCCTTCGTGGTGTCAAAATACGCTTCCCCTCCCTCACAGAACCACGACGTTTTGTGGAGGACATACTAAACCCAACCAGAATAACGAAAACGGAAACGTGCAGCATGATCGTTTCCGTTTTCTGGATACGTGGCTGCATAGATGGATGGATGCCTGGCTGGCTGACTGGCTGAATGCAGGGTTGGATGGTTGGATGGCTGGATGGTTGGATGGCTGGATGGTTGGATGGCTGGATGGCTGGATGGTTGGATGGCTGGATGGCTGGATGGTTGATGGTTGGATGAGTGGATAATCGGCAAGTTGGATGGAAGGATTATTGGATGGAAGGAGAATTTGACGCATGGATACGAGGATTTGGCATGGATGGATAATTGTGAAGATGGATGGATGGATGAATGGATGAATGAAGGGATGATTGTATTAATGGCTGGCTGGCTGGCTGGATGCACAGCTGGATAGTTGGATGGATGGAAACGGCCGAAGACAGTGGACGAGGATGAGGACAACGGCGCCACCCCCAGCACCGCCACCACCACAACAACGACAACAACGACGGCGGCCGCGACCAAGACCATGACCACGACCGCCACCACCAGCATCAGCACCACCACCACGACTACTACTGCTGCTGCTACTACTACTGCTCTACTTACTACTTGCTACTTACTAGTTACCACTTACCACTACGCCACTTACTACTTACTGCTTACTACTTACTACGTACTGCTTACTATAATCTACTACTACGACTACGACTACTACTACTACGACGACGACGACTACTACGACGACGAGTAC